TTCATTTCAATTAAATGCTGCTGTCGTGTTGTGTCTGTGTGGTCACTTTCTGACCAAACATGTTCACAGGAGGCCGGTTAATCCTCATTAAACAAGAGGAGCTTTATTCCATCTGCCTCTCTCTTTCTCACTCACACATGAGCAGCCGTCCTTTAGATACTTAAAATATCATTAATTGCACAACATGGTCTAAAATGAAGTTAATCATCTAATTGATCACAACATAAACTGTGTGTTTACAGTTGCTTTCCTCACATTCTTGGGTCCATTAAACCAAGATTGACAGGCAGGTCTCTGATCGGTTTCATTACAGTGTTTCCCTGTCCACAGAGGAGAGGGGATGATGACAGAGGGGGGCACAGGTGGAGGGAGAACAAGGACCCCCCAGAGACCAGGCCACAGGGTCAGGAGATTACAGGCCATCATAGACTAGGCCTACTTCATTAATAGTGTAAGAAGACCAGAGTGATAATGTTACATTCGATAGAAAGTGGGGCTGTAGCTAATGAATTTGTCATTTTTCTTTCTGGTTGATGCTTAAAAAAATTGTGACATCACAGTCTCCCAGGTGACATCGTCCAGTTGCTTAATCCGTCCAGTGAACAATTGAAAACCAAAGGATATTTAATTTACGTGACATTTGAGGAACCGATTAACTAATCAATTAACTGACTTGTTTTGGCACTTTCTTAAAAATTAGAATTAAAAAAATCATCTGTAACACTGTACCGCTCTGTCACTGCTGTATTTCCTTCAGTGCGTGGAAGTTAGATGAACCGTCTCTGAAAAGACTCCTTTAAGTGATGCTTCCTACTTGGAAATGATCAAATACTTTTGAAGCAGCTGTTTGCTCCCACCTCAGGCATTCCTGTCTACACAGAGAGCAGGAAAACATAAATAGCATTTTCTATGACACATCCCTCATTTTCAGCATCAACACCTGAGGCCTGCGTTGTGTAGCAACTGAGTGCCCTGACCCTTGTGCCTCTGCTGGATGGCCCCCAGCGTGGAGCTCACTCACTCTGTCAGCAGGCGCTGCATCTGCCTCCCCACACAGCCGGGCTTACAGGAATCCATAACAAAATGTCAAGGGGAAGCTGCTCTGCGGGGGGCAATTATTACAGAGGGGCGTCTTGATGATTTAGAGCTTGTGTGTGCGTTTTTTCACCCAATTGTTCCAGAATGATCGGAATCTGGAGGTGAAGCGAATGAATGGGTGAGTAGGATAGCTGTGAGCATCCCGTCTGTCGCATGGAAAAGACCCAAGCTGAGTCATTAAATATATACAGAGTCAGTCCTCCAGACCCCGGACCAAGCCAGAGGCACTACAGCGAGAAAGAGCGAGAGGCATCAGAGATAAGATGTGACAAAACAAAGTGTTTAAGTGTTTTTCTCTGTCATCCAGGGGGATGTTGTGCTAACTGCAAATATGACACCACCCAAGGGAGAGTGGATGTGCACACGTGCATATGGGGGTCAAGCGTGCAGGCAGGGTGGCTTTCCCCCTGGCAAAGAGGGTGTTAGGTTCACAGTCTGCCCTCTCAGTCCATGCTGATGATAGACAGTGAAGCATCTCTCTTTCACCCCGGTTTTGTTTGCAGACGGCAGTTGAAAGCAGGGAACAAAAGGCCGGGGTGGGATGGTTCAGCATCCTGTTCTTTCTTCAGTAATAATGACAGGAGGTGTCTCTTTTCTTTCAGAATTAATTAGGAGGACACGCTGCTCAATTGCTTTGTAAATTGGTGATCAAACAGATCTCTGAACTCAAAATTAAATGCTCCAGAAAAAGAATAAATAGCTATGTGCTGTGGTTCTTTCAGTGTCAAACCATTTATTATCTTGTATATGGTCTGCAATCTTGCACTAAGACCGGCATCAGGGTTTTGTTTCCTATCAGGCCCTTTGAGGCTGTTTTCCCATGTTACACTAAGAGCCTTTTGTTGTTTTTGGAAGTGGGAGGAGCAGAACACTTAATTAGTCCTATTTTTAATAGAGTTAGTTGTTTGACCATGTTTGCCTGGTGTCATCTGGTGGCAATGTAACATCAAAATTGCAGGACTGTTCTCTTTTATCAAGGCTATTTCCATATCATTACAGCTCTTTACACAAAGCAGAACACACAAGCAAGTGTTCTGCGTTTCATCCTCAAAGGAGCCTTTGATCTAACACTCTGCACGTACATTATGCTGCAAAACTATAAGTGGAAACAACAAATTTGCCTTTTAAAAAGACTGGAGACTTGACTGGTGTGTTTTCTTGCCTTATTCTCACTGCATGCTGAGATACAGAAAATGGATGGATGGACTGCCACGCAGTCAAACAAGTGGGGGTTGAGGTACAGTACGTACAGTGTGTGCATCATTAGGAGAATGAAGAAGTGCTGAGGTGAAATGCCAAGTTTAGCAGACCTACATGTAGTGGCTGACGACAGAAATAGCCTAATTAACAAGCCTTAGAAAGCACAGCTTAAAAAGGCCACCAGACCTTAAAGCACCTGGGACACACTGAGCTGGATTAAGTCGTACACTGCGGGAGGATTCCAGCAAAGGAAGCTACAGTCAATGATCCCAACTCTGCAGTAATAGAACAATGTCCATTCATGAGACATTATCACTGCAAGTCAAATCATTTTCCGCATTATTCCAACCACAAATACTAAACTTTGGTGAGATCATGTCCCCAGTGTAAAGATCAAAAAATAATCTCAGTTCCTGAAAGTGGTTTACTTTGCTAGATCCTACCCTCTGAATTGATACCTTCCCCATCAGCCAATGAAGTCATTAGATTAGGATTAAATCCCTCACTGATTTACACTCACTGGGAGGGGCTGGGCTGGAGGTGATACAAATAGCATTTGGCCCTCGGCTTTACCCAGATTAAAATGCTCCAATGTCATTAGAACAGAGCCATATGTGCCCTATCATTTCATGAATCTTTGAAACAGTGGCAGGCTGGGTATATGGCAGAGGGGAGGACAGTATGTGGCAAGGCCGGGATTGCATCTTCAAAATCTCTGGGGGGGAAAAGCCTGAAAATGAATGACATCACGTTGAATACTCATTAGATAAAAGCTGCAGGCATGCAACCCTATTCCTACTTAACTTCAGCAACCCTGCAGCAGAATTCATGATGAAGCTAGCTAAAGCTCTCTCACAGACAGGAGCTGATGATATGCACTTTGCAACAGAGTGGAACCTGTTTCAGCAGTGCTGCAGTAATCTGGCTAATTCAAATGTGAAATAAGACCATATGCCTCCACCCTTGTGCCGAGCGCATTGCGCAGTGAAAGCAGTGCCATAAATTAATAAATAAATAAAGAAACTAGGATTTTTTTTCTTCCACCGGCTTCCACAGGAGCGGTGCCGCATTCAGGTTCTAGCACCAGACTGTAGTGGACAGCGACAGCCATCTCATTACCTGCGCACTGAGGGAAATAACAGACTTGTATCAGGGTGAATAGACATTATAGTTAGACTGTTCATCTCTGAAGGAGTCCCCTTCTTGCAGCAGTATGTTGAAGCTTTTGGAGAGGCTTAAGAGACTATGACAGAGACCTGTTACAGAGCCGAGGGACAGTGTTTGCTGCATTGCTGTAGCTGGACAGTACTTACCCCAGCTGCTCGCCGTCCTGCCCAGAAACTCCCTCGTCCTCGGGTTCCATATAAATTCCTTCCACCCGCTTTTTTCTCCATCCTTTGCCATTTTGTCATAAAAGTTTGGACAACCAAAGCTCTAATGAAAGTAATGCAGTAAGAGCCGGGTAGGAACAAATAGGCAGACAGCAGAGAGAGACGGAGAGGGAGAGATATGCTACTGTACCACCGCGGCTGTTGCAAGAAGAGAGGCAATTACTCATGTCTAAGCGCTCAGACGCACAAATGAATGGACACTAAAGTAAAACCCCAGCCTATCTGATAACAGAAAGATGGATAGTTATAGTAAGAGGTAGCGGTCCTACTCTCCAGCACAGACCTAGTAGCCTATATGCCCTCCCCCCCAGCTCTTGTCTGCATGCCGCAGAGTTTTGATGAGTGGTGCAGAAATCTAGTGATACTGCGGTAAAGCACTCACTCCGCCTCTCTCTACAAGCACCCCCACTATCTCCATCCTCCCCCCTCCCTCCCCTCCTCTCTCCTGCCTCCATCCCCGGCACAGCTGCGCCCGCCTCCTCCTCCCGCTTGGCCAATCATATGCACCGCATCCCTCTTCCCTCGCGCGCCAGACGCATGAGAGACAAGCCTTGGAGCGAATGGCGCGGTGGCTGAGGGCATCCTTTTATTGGCTCACAGGCTCTTATCGTCACGTCCCCCAACGAAAAACCAACATGATATTCCTCTGATATTCCTAAAGGACTCTAAAGTGTCAGTGATTGTTGTGTATAATATTGAAATCAGCATCATATTCATGTCTTAATCAGACAGGGACGTTATTCAGTACATCATATTTCCCATCTAGTGTGCCATGGATCAGATGTCACAGAAGCCTGCTATAGGAATTATTATTTTTTGTAGCAAAACTAAAAGAGAAACAGGAACCTCAGATCATAATGTAGACACTTATATAGAAAATAAACTTCAACATGTTAATGTGATTTTTCTAAAACCCATCTAACTGTGAGACTGCATATTTTAGCATTGGTTGCACATTTTAAGCTACAGGTAACATAAATTGTTGGCACTATTCAACTGATTTTTTCCCCAGAGGAACAACTATTATAATTCAAACTATTAAGGTTGGTGAAGGTCTGATGGATTACTCTGAGTCAGTATGCAATTGTTAGTCTGTGCTGTACTGAAACAGTGTCTGTGGTGTGATGCATGGAGCCACAGCAGCATCAGCAGCAGCAGTGGAGGTAGCGCCCTCATATGGACTCTGCAGGCGCTGCAACATCTGCAGCAGAAGTGCAGTGGGAACACGATGTCCACCTCCCCGCCATCTCCACTGTAAAACAACACGAGGCATGAAAACATGCACAAATCCTGTTTGTTGTGTAAAGTTCATTATATAAAATTTATTTTTAATGACAATATCAATGCAAATATAGCACTACAGTGATTTCCAAGGTACACCGTATCTTACCATATCAATATAGTATGGCACTCATATAATGGCCACTGTTTTAGAAGACACACAAAAACCAACAGCTTCTGTAAACTATTTTTGGAAATGATACCTAGGGTTCCATATCAGTCTGTGAGAAGGAATCATAGTTAGGTGATTTACTCGGTATCTGGACTTAAAGTGGGCACAATAGTCAGTATCATTGGGGACATTTTCAGTGTAAGGAATCTCTGCATGCATTGCACTTGCCCATTTCCCTCAACCTGACCTGTGTTTGTTTGAAAATGGACTCAGTAAGCTTGAAAAAACCTGGACCCTCAAACACGAGCAGGTGGGAACTAAAAACAAAAAGGCCAAGCAGTGACTCTCAAACATTTAGATAGGTCTTCTTTTCACTGGGTGTACTGTACTGTACAGCTTGGTGCTAACTATCATAAAAACGACAACAACCAAGAGACATTCAAGTGCCTTAATACTATTACAGAAGGGCTCACTCTTCAAGGTACAAACTTCATTTCACGTGGCTTTCAGAAATAAAACAAATATGTAACAATAACCACTATATTAATAATGTTTCTCATGGTCACACCATGTAGTTGAATGAACAACACCAGTAGTTCAAGATAGCAGCAAAGTATTCAAAATGTCAAGACAACGAGCCGTTGAAATCTGTACACAAATAAAAATGAATGTAGAAAAAAGGGTATAAATAAAACAATAACACAGCTTAAAGGGAGTCTTGCATAAATTTAAATAAACAACTGTTGGACTGTGCCTTTCTTTAGAGGGCTTACTGTTTATTAGTAGAACTATAAGTAATGCATGGACTGGCTGCAGCAGATAAAGTACTTAATTCTTTTAGAAAAAACAAGTGAACCAAGTTATGTTTATACAGTATATGCTACATAATATGTATTGATTACAAGTATGAAAATGGAAATAATTGCTACATTTTCAATACAGTTGTACATATCTATTTACAAGACATTAGGGTTTAATTTCTCATGAGCGTATACCATGTTTTGTGCAGATTGTTCCAGCATTCTGTTTGAGGTGATCAATACTCACAGTCTTATCAGTTGCACCATATTGTACAGTCTGTGTTGATGGGTGTCAGTGCTTGTTTTTCTGTGTGGTGGAACAATCACTAATGTGCATCTGTGGATAAGCATGAGTGATGAAGTTTTTGTACCATTGATCTGTATCTATATTTGGCTGGACTGCACAGTATGTGCCATCTGTCGCACCACCTTTTTCGAACTGTACCCCAAGCGATATATTCATCTTTTTATACAACCACATGTTATCATAGTGAAGATCTGCTGTATGTAAAAGTCGGACATGATCATCTCTACACATATTCTTTTACAATACTGTATGTCTATTGTGACATGCAGAGAATGACACAGTAAATATGACTTATTCAAGTCTTAGATATGTATGTTAGGCTAGTTGACACAAGTTTTTAATTATGTTGCTCCGGCGTTGGGAGCATATTGCTATAAAATTGCAGAAACGTTGAGAAAGTAAATAGATTTACATTACAAATATGCAAACAGATACAGTAGGTAGCTTTCACTCCTCAGTGATGATTATTTGCATCCACAATGACAATCTATTGATACCAAGACATCTCATATGCATTTACTATTTTCAAGAAACACTTCAAAAACTTATCAATGAGTCTGGCCTTTTCTCATCCACAGAGTAGTTTCTATGCGTGTTGGAGAAAATATATGATTCCTTTATGTCTCAAGTAGTCAGGAGGAAATTTGGCAACACCAATCTAAGAAAACATCCCACCCATTATTAAGTTGGGGTCTTCATTTTGTGGCAATAATACTGGCGTTTTGTGGCAAAAAATCATTGGCAATTAGAACACATCGAGAAGGACATAGTACAGAGCAAGTACAAATCACCCCGGTAAGAGATTAATTTAGTCTGATTGTAATACTTCCTTTCTTCACCTCTTTTATTGGCCTTTTTTTGTTTTGTTTTCCCAAATGAGTTCAAAGTCTCCAATAACCTTCATCACTGTTCTCAGATCAGTTTATCACACAAAACTCTTTCGTTCCTCTGTGGTAATTATGCGTTCCAGTTACTGAACCCATTTTACTCTCCTCCTCAGCCATCTTCAACTCCTCTGTGTGTTAGTCTCTCTTCAGTGCTGTACTTGCTGGCCTGTCTTTCCACCTCAGATAGCCGTGTCCCACACGACGGCCTGCGGCCTCTGGCAGGGTGGCGTGCCAGTCTTACGAGGCTCAGGTGTCCGTCTCCAGCTAGGGAGGATGGGCATGCTGTCCTGCTTGCACAGGCTTTTGTCAGGGCGCCTGTGGGCCTTGATCTCTTTGCACAGGCAGCGTTTACGCTCGATGACTTCCAGCAGCTTGCCGTCTCTCTGGCTCTGCGTTGCGGACGGGGTGGTGCCCCCGCTGACAGGAGGCTGTCCCTGTGCCAGCTGGGCGAGGTGCTGGAACTGCAACTGCAGATGGTGCTGTTGCTGAAGCTGCTGAAGCTGCTGCTTTAACTGCAGCTGCTGCTGGTGAAGCTGAAGCTGCTGTTGCTGTCGAGACACACTGGGACTGCTGGGACTGCAGGGCACTTGAGGCTGGGCCAGACCATGCAGCTGAACACATTGGGAAAAAGTCAAGTGAATTTATGTGGTGTTTAATGATATTACAGTATTTCAGTTTCTACATGCATAATCACTGCAGTGCTGTCTGCAGTGACAGCCAGCCCTTGCACAGTGAATAAAACTGCAGTTCCTGTGAACAGCCACGAGGATGCGGCACTGCTTCATCTATCACAGGTTGAGGGAGGGTCAACCAGCCGCATGAAGACCGTCTCTGCAGCACACTCAAACTGCGTCAGCACTTGCTATGCAGCCAGAATCTGGGCAAAATGTGCTGCTAGAAGACTGCAGCTCATCACTCCAAAACACAGTACAGCATGTTCTATCATCCACTATTCTCTCTCATTTCCTGATTACATATCAGCCTGCGTCATATACCTTTGCAGCTCTTATTCTTTTGAGGCAGGCCAAAGCCTTATTCTGCTCAGTGGGCATATCTACCAGCTATAAATAGATCTGCAGGAGCACTGTCTCTAGCAGAAGGGGAAGTAATAATGAGACCAATATTAATGTTCACTCCCAAATCTACCATGAATGAAGTTAATAGAGTCTAAAGTTACATGGCTGGGTGTTATATATTAACCTGATTCAGGGCTTCTCGTGCTGGTAGGCTGCTCTGTCTCTGGACGTCTCCTCCACCCACCTGTCTCACTCCAGCAGCAGAGGAGGAGCGGCCCAGCCGCCCCACTTCTGCAAAGAAACAAACATTACACTGTGTGCCTGATAATGAGAACACTGGCATATAACTTTTCATTTTAACACACAGAGCTGTGAATGTCTAATGACACTCATGTGAGTTGAGGCTGAGCTTTTGTACACTGTGTGCTCATTATATTTTAAGTTACTTGACAACTATAAAGTAACCTTATGAACAATGGAGCAATACAAGTCTGCTTACACACAGATTTGTTCCTGTGTCACTCTGTCAATGTTAATCTGTCAGCTGGGTGCTTTTTATTATCTTGTAAACAGATTTCCATTGAATGTATTGTAACAGGGTCACACAATTTAATTTTGGTAGTGATCCTAATCTGCCTGTTCCACTATTCAAAAATGATTGTTCATTCAGACTTAACCATAATATCAACCTGATAAATCTTCTACTGAAATATTTGCATGGAAAAAAAAGACTGTAACACAAAAGCGACAGAAGTGATGTCACTGAATGAAAACTACATCTGATTGCAGACAGCACTGGTTGAGTTTGCACTCTCTGCCTGCTTTATCCTGTAATATCACTTTTATTACTTTACTGGCAAAATAAATTGCACCCTGTCTGTACATGTACTTAGCTCATATTACCTTACTAAACTCAATTCAGTTATAAAGTGTTTTAAACAACCAAGTTTGGGGCCCCATAGGACCAGAGCTCATGAATATATGTGTGCGGGGATGCGGGCCTGTTTATGGAGCACTTCTTTTATTGGCTTTGCTTCAAGGTAAGAATTGCACTGATTCTCAAGGTAAGCAGTGTCTCTGTTTCTAGGGAAAGGCCTTGAGTGCAGATGCAAAGAGACTGACAAAGGGACACAGAGCTTCAAGGCTAACTTGAGTACAAGAGGATGCAATGGAGGCGGAGTTGTTATTTTTTTGCTACAGTCAGAGAGAGAGAGAGCAGAGGAGAGGAGGTAGTCTCTGATTCTTCCAATTTTAGGAGCTCCAGAAGAAGAATCCCCATGTAAATCCCCTGCTAGTTCCTTTCTAAATAGGATGTTGTGGTTAGAGGCTATGGCTAAAAGATTATGAACACTTCCTTACCTCCATTGCGACAGGCAGGGAATGTCTGGCAGGGAAGAGGCAGACCAACTCTGGGCAGGGCTCTGAAACCTGGGCTGCTATCCACACCAGCCAAGGACTCACTGTGACCAAGCGCCCTGCTGGTGGCACCACTGAAGTGTACTGGGATGCCTGAGTGGCCACCTCGAGACCCCATGCAGAGGTCGTCCTTATCCATCCTTAATAGGGCATCAGCACTGCCATTCCACGCACGCCCTTCGTCTTCTGAGACACAGAAAGGAACAGAATGAATATTTCAAAGAGTATTTAACTTAAAATGACCTCAAAAGCTTTTTTTTACTCTGTATTCAAAATGACCTCTGACTTACTCTCTGTCTCTCTGCTCCCATGGCTGAAGGACAATTTCCTCTGCATAGGCCAGTAAGATCCATCATCTGCAGCTAAGCTGGCACTGCTGTCCCAGGGCATGAAGCCAGCTTTCGAATGGAGCGATGAAGACCCTCCATTACTCTTGAATGCCCCCTCACCCACACCAGTGAGACTTGATGGCTGTTGCAGAGACGGCGTCTGAGAGCTTCCTCTCAGGCTTTCGTAAGCTGGCGGTCTCCGGAAGCCACCAGAAGGGTAGGTCCACAGCAGGGGACTGTCCGAAGAGGGAGGCTTGTACGCTGGCAGGCCGTGAGGAGTGTGAGAGCGAAGATGGGGGCGAGAATGAGGACGCTGGGATGAGGACAATGGCGTAGGGGTTGAGCTGGTGCTGCTTTGAGACGTGGAGGAAATGTGATCCTGTAAGGAGTAGGGCCCTCCATCCCTATCCCAATCCCTGTCTCTTTCCCTGTCCCTGTCCCTGTCTCTATCTCGGTCTCTGTCCTTATCTCTTTCTCTGTCCCTGTCTCTATCTCTGTCTCTGTCTCTGTCCTTGTCTTTTTCCTTGTCTCTACCCCTATCCCTATCCCTTTCTCTATCTCTATCTCTATCTCGGTCCCTTTCCCTATCCTTGTCTCGGTCCCTGTCCCTGTCCTTGTCTCTGTCTCTGTCCCTGTCCCTATCCTTATCCCGCTCTTTATCAGACTTCAAGAGGAAGCTAACAGACTTGCCCTCCTTGCCTGTACTTGAGGTTTGGGTCTGCACTGTGGCCTGGTTTGAAGTCTGAGAACCGCTCTTGCCTGGGGCGGGGGAATCTCCTCTCTCTGGCTTGCGATAATGATGGTAGTGCGAGGGGCGATGGTGAGGGTGGTGGTGGTGATGAGAGAAAGGGGAGGTGGATTTGGAGGAGGGAGGCAGAGGTGTGGAGTGGCTCCTGGCTCTCAGTCCAGGTGCAGGGCCTAACTGGGCCTCTCTGCTGTGTTTGTCCTGCTGGGATGCACTTCCTCCTGATGATTCCTTTGAGCCTGACAGCGATGAGGGAACATTAGAAGAAGTTGAGGAGGAGGTGCTGGCTTGAGTTGTCACGCTGGATGTTTGAGTTCCCATTTTAGCAGTAGCAGACTTGTTTTGCACCCCGACCCCGCTGGAGGCTGCTGCTGGCTGAGGGAAGGCAAGCAGTGGGGGTCGGTGCTGTAGGAGATTGGGGAAAGGGGCTGGGATCTTGGTGTTGGACTCGGGCTCTGATTTACTCCCTTGCAGCAGATAGGGAGTAGGAGCTCGTGGAGTGTGTGGACTGGTGGAGAGGACCTGGGGGATAGGGGTGGAGGACGCAGAGGAAGGCAGAGGAGATGAATGGGAGATTGACACGGTAGCTTTGGGTTTGGAATAGGAGGGAGAGGAAGAGGAGGGGCGTGGCAGGGAGGAGGAGCTGCTGGAGGATGAAGGGGTGACATGGAAGTGTTTCGAGGTTTTCAGTTTCTCATGTTTTGCTGGGAGGTGTTTCTGGGACTCTCTGTCCTCTTGCAGCGGGTATTTCATCTCCTCATAGATGGCCTCACTCTGGTCTGAGTCAGAGTCAGGCGTGGTAGCCACAGGGGTGACAGGGTGGGGGGTGGCTGTCTGGCTGTCTCTGGTAAACACTTGGCCCACCATCTCTATATAGACTGGTTCATCCTCCCCATCTCCTGTCTGAATCTGAGAGTCTGCTGCCTGGAAAGGCAAGGATGTGGCAGAAGCAGGCACACGTGGAGGAAGAGGGTCAAAGGAAAGCTGGGTACTGGGACTTCTCTTGGGCTTCAAAGGAGGCACCTTCTTTCCTCCAATCTCTCCAGAGTCAGACTTCTTCATGGCTGTAGGAGAAAAAAATGCATGTCATGAAGAAAGATCATTTTCTCTGCAGAATATGCACCTAAAAACACATTTCTTACCATTTTTCTTCTCTGAGTGTTTGGACTGTGAGTGAGAGGACGAAGTAGGGGGCGGCGTATCAACAGATCCTCTGCCATCAGTGGATGAGGAGCTCAGGCGAGTGCTGGGGTGACGTTTGGGTTTGGCTGGCGGGCAGCGGCCACCATGTTGGGATTGGGTGTCAGAGTAATCTCCATTCTCCAGACTCGTATCCCCAGCACCTACAGCATGGCAGGACTGTGAGCGCGGCGCCATGGCGGAGGCACAAGAGTGAGGGGACAGGTCCTGGGAGGCCGGCATGGTCATAAAACCCATCCGGAAGTGCCGGCGAAAAGAAGCCAAGTCTCTGACTTTGCCAACAGTGGCTGAGGGGTCGTTTTGGTTGGAGCTGCAGTTCGGAAATGGGATTGGGAAAATATGGATGTAAGAAAAATATTGAAACATGAGGAAATCATAGTTAAGTGCAAATACATTCATGTACTAGCTTTTATATTGACCTTCTTCTTTCCTCACTCTCTCTTTGGTCTTCAAACATTGCCTGTGCAATAAAGAAATGCCTGCAGGGCTTTCACAGCAAAAAGGAAAGCCCTGGAGGCTCCTTCATCTTTCGCATTCACATATCTTTCCATCTAAATTCCTCCACATCTGCTTCTTCCTCAAACACATTCAATTAGGAAATCAATACCCTGCCAAAAACAAAGTACTCGTAGTGTACGCTGCACTGCTGGAATTCCCTTATTCTTCATATCTTTATATCCTCAGCCCACATCTGTAGTCTGCTCTCATGATCGCCAAAAGCATTTTAATCTGTTTCCATGGGAACAGTTGTGATTTTCCTGTGTTTGATAGTTTGTCTTTGAAATCATCAATGATACGAGCTCGCGCAACAATAAATAAAAATGACACAGAGAAAAATCAGACAAAATATTGCAGTGTGGTGCCAAACTGAACAATACAGTTGAATTGCATTCCTTCTTTTGGTGAACTATGAAATACTTATTTATGTGTTCAATGTATGATATACCATTTACTGTATTAACCCTGTGGGATCCAGATGCTTATTATTTTTTTTTTTATCATCATGTCTATGCATACAACTCCATAGTCTTGCTTGCAGTTTACAAGAAGCAAAATAACTTATTCAAAAACACACTGAAGTATTAAATTTAAAGGGCATCACAAATAGGGGAGACCGGGGTTGGTTGGCACACAGCTAGTTTATGTTCCTTTAAACTCAAAAATGTAGCATCAAAACATTTGCTTTTGACCCGCACTCATCTACTGTGTTAAAATATCTGAAAGTCTAACTATTTTGTTGAGGATAACATTTCGGTTTTATAGTATCGGAAGTAAAAAATTTGTCTGTGGACTAAACTTATTATAAAATGTGCTAGAGATTACCTCTAGTTAATAGATAAAGGAACCAGCTACAATTTGACATAAGATCTGAAAGTCTATGATGAGTGATGGTAACATAATTTTAAGACCTGTATTTTAAGAGATTATAACTAATTTGAAAGTTCAAAAACAATGTTTACATTGTTGGTTAATTATTATAATTCTGAATGGTCAATGGCAAAAGTAATTTGACATACCTACTGATAAATTGCTTAAAAAATGTTGCTTGGTTTTAAAAATGGGAAAATATTCTATTAAATGTTCATGTTTTATGGTTCCTGTTTGAATTAAATGTTCAAATTGTTTTTTTTCCCTGTGATGGAGCCGGTTGGCACAAATGTACAACTAGACTTTAATCAGACTTTAGAAATATTTGTGTACAATAAAACATATTTATTGTACATATTTATGCTGTTGGTTAGAATATTTCAACATAAATTATGTCAGAGAAGAGAGAAAAAAAGCGTGCCAACATAACCTGGTCTCCCCTACGGCCCAGACCCTCAAATTATGTAAAATTATTATTGTAAATTATGGACTGTGATCCAGGAAAAAAACTCAGATGTGCTAAGTTGCTGACAGTTTTAAGTCGAGCACAGATCAGGCACCAGTGTCAGAGGTTCAAGCTGTTGACATAAAGCCGTGAGCTCTGATGTCCCGCTGAGTTCATCAAAGGCTTACAAAATGGCTTCTGATAACCCTCTGCTTGCCTCTCTGCTTTAGAGATAGGTGCTGCAATGGTGTGGTGTCTCAAGGGGTGTTGTGCTGCTTCACCTCACAGCAACACAAGACAGGTCCCTTTAAGCTAACTGTGATTGAACAGGGTTGAAATACTTTCCCCTGTAAAATGCACTTTTCATTAACGAGGCTACTGTGACGCTATCGTATTTCCACAAAATGTCAGAAAAAAGCGGAAATACAGTCACAAGGAGTTTAAATATAATTTACTGCAGCAATGCGGGAAGAAATCACAGCTTCATCAGGCTGATTCTTATTCCAGGTTTGTGTTGATCATAGCTCAGCCACAGGGAGCACATCTGGATATCCACATCTGTGTCTACACGTTTGAGGCTGCAAGAAATTGTGTTTCTGAGTGTGTAATTAAACAGCTCAAATGCACGATTATTCTGTGATTCATTATTGTACATAATGGTGACACATGACTACGGGTCACGCAGCTCTCCCTTTTAGATCATTTGCGATTTCCTGTGGGGCAGCGAAGCACAGGAGAAGACAATTGGGGCTTACAATTTGCAGTCAACATTGCAAGCAGCAGAAGCAGAACTGAGTCGGCTCATCACGGAGAACACAGAGGCTCCTATTTTCTTCTTCGTCAAATCACTGTGTGAGGCAGTGTGCGAGTGCCTGAGTATCTCTTTTTATGTGTGTGGTGTAGCAACAAAGTGTGTTTGCATCTGCACAAGTATGTTTGTGCCCTTGAATGCCTGTGGAGATGTACTTGTGACTCCTCACAATCGACATAGATACTACAGGGCCAAAATTAGCCCAGAGCAGAGGCTGGGCAGCTCCTTCTGTCTTGTTTTTCTTACTTCTTCTTAAAGCAGGAGAAGCTGTCCTCAAACTGAGACCAAAGACAATCTGGACTCTCACCACTGTATTTGCATCTCCTTCCTGCTGCTTTATGTTGTGCGCCTGACTTATAGTAACTGCCACTTAAAGCAGCAGTTTGGCATTTTGGGAAACACGCTTATTTGCTTTCTTGCCGACAGATAAATGACAGATAAAAAGACAACTCTCATGGTTGTCAGCTTAATATGAAACCAGAGTCAGCAGCCAGTTAGCTTAGCTTAGCATAATTACTGAAAACAGGGGGAAACTGTTAGCCTGCCCTCCATCTCTAAGGCCCCTGTTTACACCTGGTATTAATATGTGTCTTGGATGACTGCATGACAGGTGAACAGTTCTTAGTACAGGTGTCAGTGTGCCAAATGTGTCCTCAATGCGTCTTGAAATCCAATTCCTCAGACCACATTCAGAAGTGGTCAGGGCCACATATGGTCACATTCCTTAAGCAGTGTGTACAGTAACGTGTCCTAGGCCACAGTGAAGGACCACCTACTCAGCTGATGTCCTTAGCTTATCCAACTCCCTTCCAGATAGGCTTTGGTTGCTGCCGTTAAACAGGTTAGACACAGTGCTGAGGGACGGTCTCCTGCCGGCTAAACGATCAGTTCAACGTCTTCCCAGTTAGAACGAGCTAACACAGCAGCAGCTGTTAAGCAGGGCCAACACAGTGACACTGACACCGAAACAGCTTGATTTTGGCATTATATCCGTTAATAACCGTTAGCTAACAGTTAGCCCTGTCACAATGTGTGCAAGTGGACTCTCACCAACTGTCCCCAGTGCTGCACTCACACTCGTGCAGCAGTACAGCATGACAAACCTCCCACCAGTTAAAAGCAACAACATATTCTGTCTTTGCAAAATGAAATGATGCACGTATTTATTTTCATAGAGCGGAGAAGTGATATCCAATCACAAGTGATCACTCAAGACTCATGTGGAGACACATCCTAATGCCAGGTGTGAACAGACAGACTTAAAGGGAAATTTCGGTTTATTTCAACCTGTCTCCTATCGTCCTATCGTCCTTGTTTCAAGTGACTAGTGACATAAAAATAATAGTTAGCATGTTAGCCGTTAGCCTAACAAACATGGCAGCACACCGGTAAGGTAAGACAACACGTTTACATGTCGTTTTCTATATGTTCTCTGACATTTATCCTAACGATATGAGGCGGTCTTTGTGGAAAAAAAGCTTGTTTAGTGTTTAGTGCACTTGAAGGTTGCCCGTTCACTTACGTTTTAACAGGTCTGACGCTACTATGCGCCCCGGCTGTATCTAGGCTAACGGCTAACATGCTAACTATTATTTTTATGTCACTAGTCACTTGAAACAAATTTAGGACGATAGGAGACAGGTTGAAATAAACTGAAATTTCCCTTTAAGGCTTGGACATACTGTCTGCACTGAACATCCACAGACAGCTATGGATGCCCAAGCAGTACTAATCACAGTACAACTGAGGGTCCGCTTCAGCCTCCAGCAGTTAACAGAGAGCTGGGAGGTGAGGTTACCGTCCTACTGCCAACGTTAGGCAAAACTGAAACTAAGAAAACACTGAAAACACAGAAACTACGGATTTGCCTATATATACAGCTGTCGACTTGTTATTGGGAATCACCTAAGACAAATGTTTCTACCAGTGTAAACAGGGCCTGAGTCTCACTAACTGAGGAGGTTGTTGTTGGACTAGTAAGGTACCAGGGAGCAGTAACTTTCTGGGAATGTTGCTGGCTAATGATGATGACAAAACTCAAGAAGTCGCTGCTCCCATCCAAGAAGTGGTCCCTTAAATAACATATATTCAGGATGAATAAGTGTTGTTTTTTTTTTAAATATTAAACTATTTCTGTAGTTCTTCATTGACTACAGTAAGAACAATGTTTTCTGCTCTGGTTCACTGTTTAAATGAAATTAAATCTGTTCTACAGGAAGACTTGAACCTCGCTGATTCAGGACAGTGTAGTGGTTCTTATTAATTACTGGTATGATCTGATTGATTTTCTAAAATCATGACTGTAGAGTTTAATCAGTAAAGATTAATCAATATGAAATATTTCAAAGCTTCTTCTCATCCTGTCTTGTTTTGTCCAAAGTGCAAATCATGAATTTATCTGTCCACATAAATTTGAGGTATCTCCAAATAATTTCTAACAAATGTTACACTTCACTCAAGAACAAAAACCTCAATGGCAGTCACATTGCATGAGGTCAGCCGCCGCTCCTCTGTCACATACTGAACATCACCTTTGCTAGATTTATCTTTGGACAGACTCTTGAACACCACCTCCTCCTCAGTGTGCAAGATATTCCCAAAAGCTTTTAAGACTGTGGTGATAAAGCTTCTGCTGAAGAAATCCAGTTTAGATAATTCTGCCCCTAGCAGCTACCGTCCTATTTCT